GCCATCTTGGACAAAACTGAAGATTTTCTTTGGTGTGACTGACTGAACTCAAACATCCTTAAGTATTTTATACCCAGACTGAACAAAGGGTTTCCCCCTCTGTAAACCAATGTGTTGACACTTAACTGTAAATTGAAAGAGCAGAGTCAGGGTTGTAAGGTCCCCCCCCCCTATGCAGCACTAAATGCACATAGTGAAACTGGAATTAACATACAATTACTGGTGAGGTTCACCAGTTTCTTTTCATTGTTTACATTCCCAAAAAGAGAGTGAAGGCATTATATGTTATATTAAACTGAAATCATAATTAATATCAATACAAAATAATTTTGCAGTTTTTCTTTTTTCGATGATGAGTGTATGAGTTTTATTTTTATAACCAGAGTCAATAATTATTTCCCTCCCACTTGCTGTAGTTCTACACAAAACTCAGTTACATAAGTGTCAACAAATGTGTGAATGTGAAGGGAAACCAGACCTTGACCTTTATGCAACTCTGAATCTGTGAATGAGAGCAGACTCATTTTCCCAAGGTGCACTCGATGAATCATTGTCTCTGTTTGTGTTATCAGTCTGTTTTTTTTGTTGTTGTTGCTGTCATCTACACACACAGAATTAGCAGGAATATGAAATGTAAATTGAGTCAGGTGAAACAAGCGAAATGAAAACCACGTTCACACACTTGAAACATTTATTACATGATCCTTCCTCTTTTTTTTTTTCTTTTCTTTTTACAATCATTACACAGTACAGTTACCATGAAGCATACATTAAAAAAAGAATGTTTAATTTTTGTGATAAGTGACATTTTTAAAAAGGTGCGAGTGAAAACATCTAAACACTGCCAACAAGGCATGTTCTTTATCCTTTTAATAAAGTATCTTTTAACAATTACATACAGTGCGCCCATAAAGCTCCAGTCTCTAAACAGATAAAATAGATATATGTTGAGGCTATGATTTTAAATTATATTTGTTGGTGGTATTTTTGGCATCAGTAAATTGATCATAACCAAACAGATGCATATTATTCTTTAGGAGGTGTTTAACATGTCTTTCATTCAACTTTTTCTATAGCCCTATATCCTAATATCAAATTTTAACCAATATTTTGTCATTTTGTCTGTTATACCAAGTAGATAGATCCATTTTACATTACAAAAACTCCATACATTTCAATAGTTTAGCTCTTAATCAATCTTTAAAGCAGTTTTAACCTATAGCAGCTATTCAGTTACATTTACTTTTGTGTCTAAACAATCCTGCAAAGTCCTCTCTTTTGTATTTTTTTTTTTTTTGCAACAGCCCACACGGTATATATTTATATGTCTAATAGTGAATTCCAGTGTTAAACAGCAATGGCACAGTGCTTTTAGTGAAATAAATGTAATATGTGAACAGTAGTCTAAAGATGAATAGATCAATCAGCTTGATTATTATAAAGACAAACTAAAGAAGACAGGTGTGGCCCCTATAAGTCACCGTGCGAAATCTTGAGGAGGTAAATCAAGGCTATGAAGGAAAAGATTCTATGAAATGATGTGTGATTGAGCGTGCCCATTGGTGAGTAAACAGCCTACACAGCCTGTCCAAACAGAGAGCGCTGATCACTCGGCTTCTTATAGAAGGTGTCCTCTTTCCTTCATCCTGTGGTGCATAACACTATGTGTGTGCTTGTGTGTTAATATCACAGTAAATTGTGGATTTTTCTCTCCACAAACAGCACAGATGAAGTCTATTAGTAACACTGGTGACAGTCCATGGAGCAGGAGGTATGATGGCGTGCAGATGAACACAAGTGTAGACAGGGTGTGTTTATTTAGACATAGCTTTCTCTGCTGGTGCCGTTGATGGCTGTGAGCGTGCCTGTGACAACAAAGACATGAAGTACGTTAGAACCCGCACAGAATATCAATCACATCTTCAAATTCATATTGCAGACAGAATGATGAAGACAGAAAAAAGGGAGCTTCACCTGGTGAGGTCTTCTATGTCCACCAGCATGGCATCCTGCTCCACATGCAGCTCATCTCTTATCAGCAGCAATTGCACCAGCTCCTCATTTAAGCCTGTGTTTGATTCAGGAAGAGAGGAGAAGAGGTAAGACAATTTCATTTCAATGTGAAGAAAGCAATTTCCCCAGCATTATTGTTGATTTCATATTTCATATACAGAGGGGAATCATACTTCGTTAATTCCTGTTTGAACCTGACTTACCTTTTCATGCTTGTGTGTTTGCTCTTGTGTGTGTGATACTCACTCTGGATCTGTGAGTGTAAGTCATTTGTGATGACTTGCAGCTGTCCTAGACTCATATCCCTCATGTCCCCTCGTCTCAGATTCCTCTTCATCAAGCACTCGCTGATGTGGGCAGATGGGAAGCTGCATATGTATGTGAAAATGCACATAGCCACAACATGAGACATATTTTACTCGTAATCAATAGGTTTCTTCTAATGTCTCTCACACAAAAACACCATTACAAACCAAGTCTGATCTTCTGCTGAGGTTGCAGTTTTATTGTGCTTTGTTTTCTGTCAGTAATTGTACTTGCACTTCATTCCCCTTCAATTATGGCTTGGATATTATTTGTCTTGGATAATTTCTGGAAATATTTTTTTATGGAAGAAGGAATTAAGAGCTCCAAACACACACACACACACACACACACACAGGTCTGTATTTCTCTTCCTCACTGACTAACCAGGTCAGCCACAGGTGAACGTCGGTGCAGTTGGATTTGCCTCTCCACCTCGACCTGCATGCGGGCCATGGGTCGAGCCAGAGCCAGCGCCACCCGGGCCTCCTCCTGCAGTCTCCGCTGCACCCGCCAGAACCCACTGCAGTCATCCAACGGGTCTGAGTCCTCCTCTGCCGTGTCTCGGTCTGATAACGATGAGCTCTGCTTGCTCTGGAGAAGAAGTAAAGTAAGATTTGAGTGATTTCATGATGTTACTACCGATATGGTGTTGCATGAGATTGTTTGAACAGTTAGTAGTGGGGTGAAACAGGTACACACAAACACAAAAACACAGAGATTACTCTGTATGCATACCACGGGGGATAGTGGTGTGTCCAAACTTGTCTCTGTCCTGCTGTCCTCGGCATCGCTGTCTTTGTCACTGCTGCTGTCGTTCACGAAACACACCTGCAGGTTCACCCCACTCTGCAGCCTGACAGGAGAAATACAAACAGTGAACAACATGAGGGATGAAATGTTGATCTTCAGTGGATGGATAGACTCAAAATTTCTCCCAAGTCAAAGTGAAACTTTTGGAGACAAAATAGAAATTACTGAATGATTGGACTGATTTTGTTCACACATTAAAACAAAAACAAAGTTTAGACAAAAGAAATCCCAGCACCTGGGACTTGGTAGGATTTTAGATTTATACTATATCAGAGATGGCCTTAAATGACCCTAAATCAAATAATGAAAAGTAGCAAAATAAAATGTTCACATTACATTATTATGAAGAAATAAGTTTCAAGTGGAAATGCTAGGAAATATCTGGACACGAGGCACAACCACTAGAAACCTTTGATCAAGTGCATGAGGTGAAATTTGGGGGATTTTATTCAAAAAAATATATCATCAAAAAGTTTGCTGTATATTTGTACTGAACTCTGAACAAAAATCCCTGGGACATCGACCATGAAGCACTGCTGTTTTTTGATGCAAGACAAAGCCAAGTGTTTTCATTGATTCCGAAGGCGAAAAGCAGACAAATTCACAAGAAAGGAAGGAGGTAATTATAGCCGGAAACACATTTTTTCAGCCAATATTATAATTCTTGACCACATACTTAGGTGGGCGAAGATCTCAGTTTTTTGTTTTACATTATAGGCTAGGACCTTTGTTTTAATTAAGGACAATTTTAATGCATCTGAATAAATGGCACGATATAATGGAGTCCATGCAACTCCTAACCTCCATCATTAGGAAGAACTGTAACCCCAATGCAATCCTCGGCCTTAACCCGTTAACTATAGTATCCATTCTGGCTTTACTAATGCAATTTTACTGAATAGGAAGAAAATGCACACAGCTTGGTTGCAATTAGAAGGAACTTTCTTTGAAGTACAGATGCTTTAACAACAGCATTTTAATCACCATAGTTTTGGAATTATATATATGACAAGAATATGACAGATATGGCAAAAGTCAATACAGAATACGCTTGGGCGTCCATATACTTCTGGCCAGGAAGCTATTTCAAAGTTGATTACCTAATCATGAAATTAAAGCAGGTGAAACACCAGAAGTTCCACGGCAGTAAAACCTCAAACCTCAGCTTTTCCAAAAGCTCAAAACTCTATTCATTCAATTCCAGATCATGACACTCTGACTGAAAGAACCAAATAACACAAAAAGTAACCTCCCACTACTACAGGATGAGAACAATCACTTCAACTAGACCTCATAAACCGGATAGGGAAGTGTTGGAGTTTCCACCCCAAACTATATTCGAGAGGGTGCACCTGTACCACAATTGGAGGTCACATGACTGTAATCCAAGCCCCAGACTCATACTAGGCATCACTTCTTCTTTCAGGAGCTACTTCCCCAATAGCATGTTTGATCTAAACACCCACTCCATTAAAAGAAAAAGTCAAAGTGCCATAAAGTAACTTTGAAGGTCGAGGCTGTGATGAAAAGAAAGCAGATTGTATTGAAGCTGTAGTTGCTTTGGTTAACCATAATGGCTCTGATGTAATGCAACTCTTGTGTTTGCATGTGCTCAAACCCTAAACAACATGCAGAGATTATTTCCCTTACTTTGAGTTCATGGTTTGGTTTCATTTGTCACCATCCTAGTGGGTGTCATATCCAATAAATTGAAAATTATTTAAAAACTTTAAATCATTGCAGTTATAAAGATATACTCTATGACAGTCACATTGTAGTACAGGTGACTGGCAAATAAATAGCTCACTTACAATACAAACTATAAAACAGTGAATGTAAATGTAGAACAAAAGACTTTAAAGGAGTTGTACATGATGACAGATATTAGAATGTGTTTTTTAACTAGTTAAAGTCTTTATATGCGATTTTTCACACTTAAATATAATAGAAATCAAGTATATCCTCTGAAATTAACTCTGTGAGTCAACATGACTGTTTACAATGGATGTAACACCCGAGTCCCACTGTCTGTGATGTTTTCCGAGTTTTTCGAGTCATAACTTCAGTTTGTTAACATCGCCGGGACGACGCGAATAAAAGTTGTTTAATTGAGGGACTAGAGAAAAGAAGAATAACATACTGTACTCACTGCTTAACTGTGTTTCTAGATTACGCTCATTTTGGGTAAATTTACGTTTAGTGTGAAGATACTATATACTATATACTCGCTAGCATTAGCATGCTAACACAACAATGCACCGCAAGTTGTTTTGGTTTCATGCTGGTGCTCAAGGGCAACATCTGCTAGATCAAAAAATCTCATATAAAGCCTTTGAGTCATAGGCACATTTTTTTATGGGAAATATCTTATTTTGGCATGAATGGCTAAATTCTATCCCATTGTGACAATTTTCCACATATGTCTGACTCATGAAGTTGGGGAATCATTTTGTTTCTGTCTGAGCAGCATAGCACGCAACAAAGGTTAACCACCATACCACCCCCCCTTCCTGTGCCTTCTCTTTCTATATTCAAGAGTCTTTGTTCTGCTTGTGAGAGTAACCACCTTTTTTAATGTTTAGTCCAATGCCACTTCTTTTGGATTGACTTTGCACCATAACATGGCTTTCATTTCATGAGATGCTCATTCTCTATATGAGGTATAGAACAAAGTTTCAAGTCGACACACAGACAAAGGATCATTTATTTTATAATCTAAAATTGTAATGTACCACGACTCTCTGCTGCATGACTTCATCTTTCTAAACAGGTTGCCCCAAAGGACACACTGTCATTTACTGTCGTGTACATGTGACAACAGCGAGCCATCAAATGAATCCCATTAGTTTTAATCTCTCTAACATGTGTTGTCTTAACTTAAAGTTATTCATAGCTAAACTGAGCTACTGAACAGCTCCCTCCCCTGGGCTGCCATATAACTGCATGTATTTACCATGTGGTGCCCAGTGTTACAGATTCTAAAAAGAAGGCCAGTGAGTTCATTCGCAACACATCATCACAGCGTTGTGATAGAAATATAGTTAAAAAATATTAACTTTTTTAATCCACAGGCAGGCCTGGCTGTACAAAAAATAAAGGCCACTGAATCTCGAGTGTTCAGATGTTCTACAAAGACATACATGGATTTATAAAACATAGAGAGAAAGAGTAATATTGATTTATCAATGTATTGGAGAGATTTATGATTGAAATTTGTGTGCCTTTTATGCAGTCAATATGAGGATATTCTTTATCAAAGCAACATACAAAGTCTGCAAAACCAAATATTGATTTAAAATTCAGAGATTAAAATAGATAAATGTTTTCTGTGAATCAATTATTCATTTGATCTAGGGCATATCTCACTGTATCCTTGCCAACCAGCTAAGAATAAATTCTGTGAGAACATTCTAAAGATCTAAAGTGTCAGCTGTCAGGAGCTAAAACACAAAAAATATTGGTCCCAGGCTTCAAAAGGCTACATTGATCAAAACGGTAACACACTCAGACACACACTGGATCCAAACCCACCGGGAGGACTGGCCGTTCTTACTGCAGCTGGTGTAGATGACTGGCTCGTCGTCATAGAAACTGCCAAGGGCAAGTTTCTGCCTGATGGACTCTCTCTCATTCCTCTGAGCCTGCCATAGAACAAAACATGTAGAATATTATTAAAACTGCTGCTGCTTTAACTCCACCTTTGCCTGATTGACCAACAGGGAATTATTCATGAGAAGAAAAAGTAATCTGGGTGTGCAGTTTGCTGTTTAAATGAAAGCTGTAAATACATGTATTGTCCCAAAAATTATGCACTTCCTGGTAATGAGGAGGAGTAGGATGAAAGAAAAAGAGGGAAGGGAAAATATGGAGGAGGAAATTGTGATTATGCAGGATTTAATGTAGCAAAGTCACACAATCCAATTTGCTGCACTTCACACATAAGAATAATCCAACTGTGGGCTCATGTAGGACACTGTACATACTATTATATTGTATGTTAACAAAGCATAATCTTTTTTTCCCTTTTTAATATGAGCTGAAATTACATCTACAGACATTTACAAGTAGCTGACCTCAATATATTGAGTATAGATAGTTGATGTGAGATTTACAGCCTGACAAACACAAAAAACAGGATATCTTTTTAGTCTATTTTTACAGGCCATTGAAACTAGACTTAATGTGAAGCTGATTTAAGAGGGACACCTGACAGTCTGTTATAGATTGACCACCTGTCCTGATCTATACATTGATACATCGTGTGATAGATAAGTCATGCGTAAAGGTGAGCTGGTACTGAACATAGATGGATGAATGAATGAGGCAGCTTCCATCCTCATTGATGGTAGCCAGTTTTTCACGATCAAAATGGATGAAATATTACTGAACTGTTTCCACCGGATCTAAAGAGGAGTTATAGCTTTAATGTTCTAAAGATATTGGATATGTATTGTTAAAATGATTGTTTCCATCTGTAATTGCTCACTTGTCAGGACAGCAGCCTTTCTCTACTGTAAAATTACTTGAACAGAAGCATCTTGTGCCTTTCGTTCATAAAACCATAGCATTCCTCTAGCTGCTTAGCACACCCACATACTGTACATGTCTTTTCTTCTCCTATTTGTTTCTGTAAAACTTCAGATGTTTATTTACTTTTGCTCCCAGTGTCTAGAATGTCCATTGTCCACTGTTCCACTGTTACTTTTATGTTCTCCTTTTTTCTCTTCTGTTTTTTTCGTCAGCCTAATCAGATTTTGTATTCATGAATCATTACTCTTATCTCTTCCCCTCTGGAGCTGCCCTATTTGAGCAGCGCTATGTTACTGGTACACAAACCCCCCATTTGTCATTAAATATTGCACAGAATGACCAAGCAAATCACATGGTTTCTTTATCTTGCACCTTGGTGTAGGTTTTTTTTTATCCTGAGATTGTTCATAGTGCCTTCATGTAAGGCCGCCTGCCTCTATGTGTGTGTGAGCATGTGACACACACTCCATCACCAGCAACCATTGTATAACAACTCCAAATTTAGGGATGTTTCTCCTATGTCATACATCTGTTTCAAAATAACCTTAAAACCAGCCCATTGAAATGCCTCCTCTCCTTTTTTGTGGCACATTATAAGATTATCATAAGGCTGTGATGTAAGAGCACAAATCACAGTTGATCGCCTTCACTTGCCCAGAACAATGTTCTTCTTCCTGCCTATCCACTTCAGACAGTCGCATGTCTTCCTTCTAACAGTCGACTTTAATGAATTCATACACAACCTTTTTAAAACTCCCAACTGAAAGTATAAGGTGTTGCAAAAGCCCCTCATGATGTCTATTAATCATGAATAATTAAATTATTGAAAATCTAAATAAGCATGGTGTATGATTATATACATGAAAATGATACAAGATATTAAATTATATTGAATTGTGCTTAGCATATATAAAACACAGAGATGAACAGGGAAATATCACATATTGAACACACCCACACCCCTTCACAATCACACATCCAGTCGTCCATAATGGCTGATTCATCTACAGCAGCTCACCCATGATGGAAACCTATCATGTATACCTGAAAATAACATGCCACATATACTACCCCCTCTGAATCACTAACAGATAGAGACATAAATCCACACACCTGGTAAATGCGTTTCTCCTGGTGCACCATCCTTCATTGCATTGTACTAAAACAGCAGCCTTGCCCTTCTCTACACTGCGGTGAAGCTAGACCCAGGAGACCCGCTCATATACTGCAGCTCTGAGCAGGAGAACGAGCGAGTAGTGAGGGAGGGAGGGAGGGAAAAGAGCAGTAAGGGGAGGGGGAAAGGCAGCAGGAGGAGAGGAGAGGAGAGGAATGAGGGAAAAGCAGAGGAAAGAGTGGGAAGAGACGGAAGCAGAGGAGATAGAAGGGGAAAGGATGAGACAGAGCTGCTCAGTGCTGCCACTTCTCTCCTGATGTGATATCTCTTCCTCCATCTTCTATGTTTGCTTAGACCTGGCCTCATTATCAGGATTGTTTTTAAATCTAAAATAAGACCAAATAACAACCAAATGGAACCTGCCAGGAATACATGTCCTGATGAGAAGAGACTTGACCCAATCAATTAACAGGGGAAAAAAGGCATATGATCGGTTGCATGGAAAAGTGAGGGATAAGATAAGCTAAGGCTGACAAATGAGACTGCAACCCTGGAAAACAAAACCATTAAGGGGGCCAGAGCTCAATCAATAACAGCTCTTCTAGTAAATGTCAGCGTTTTTTTAAGAGCACTGACATGGTGTCTGTATCTTCTCCAGAGCAGAGTAGTGATTTTTATTTTATTTTAACATTGTGTTGTTTATGTTGTCTCTTAAGGAATCTCCTCCAGCCCCAATTCCACTTCACAGATTCAAGTGTGATGAGCTGGAAGATAAATGAGGAAGCACAGAGTGAGCATGCTTGCACATGCAAATGAAAACACAAACACACACACACACACACAAGTATGCACATACTAGCAATTAGTTCCCAGGCTGCAGTAGTGGAATCAAGCAGCAAAACATTTTTGAGTCATCAGTCATTCTTTATCAGCATCAGATGCCAAATTTCATCAGCATTTTAGCCTTTTTTTATTTCTCTGAGCTCATTCATACATGTACTATTTGGGTTTTGTTATCACATTAGTACGTTTTACTTTTACTTGAGATTGTTTGTGGGTTTTTTTTTTTCTGATATATTTTAAGAAGTTGTGCTCACTCCACATGACTTGTCCTGTCTCATTCTGTTTCCTCGTAGTTCAAAGATTCAGTTGACTTTGTCAGAACAAATGTACTAAGAGTAAGTAACTCAGGGCTTCACTCACCGAAATGCTGGACAGTCTGACTCGCCCTCCACTGTAATAGTCTTCTGCCTGTGGTGCGAAGATATCCTGGAGCTCCTCGGCCCAACTGCAGCTGTTAACCATGCAGCCTCTTCCTCCTGTCTGGTTTTGTGTGCAATCATCTTCACAGTTGTCCCACCAATGACCTTCTTTGGCCTTATTAATGAATACCTCTCTCTCCTCTTCCTCATCCATGTCTACATCATAGTCGTCCATCACAAGCTGTATGAAGTGGTTGGAGCAAATGTTAGGGTCGGAGAAGAGATCTGTTGAAAGCTGCTTGAAAGCTGTCTGTATCAACTTTTATTATTCCCTGTGATCATGCAGATAAAAAAGTAGATACATATAAGAATTGGCTTAAACATTTGTATATCAACATTCTCAGTCATTTAAATTAATATATAAATCATATGTTCCTAGTCTGTGTTGTTTCAGTCTTTGACTTTAGTTTCAAACATACAATTCTGCTCAAGATAATTACAAAATGTAATGCATCTTTCATTCTAAATTAAAACCAGTGGTAAATTGAATAGGTAAAAATAGCACTCACCTTCATAGTGAAGTGCAAGGTTCTCCAAATAAAATTTAAATCCAAACCCAGCACTTGTAATACAGAGATAAGCAGAGTGTTGTATAACACATCAACCCTTCTCCCATGCTGGACAGAGGCAATATGACCTCTGAAAGGATGGTTTTGAGCATTTCTTTGTCCTTTGCAGACTAGATCTTTCTCCGAAATGAGGGCTCCATAATTCCAGCAGATAACACTGAAGTGAAATGGAATAAATATAGGCATGCATCCTTGCTTACACAGCTCTTGTAGTTTCAATGATGCGTGTATATTTGTGTGTCCATCGTCAGTGGGTGCCCAGAGGAAAGAGCACCATGTGGAAATATATAGGAACAGACAGAATGGGGATACGTGTATGTGCTGTATGGGACTGAGGGTTTTACAGAAATAAAAACAAGTTACAGAGAGTTGCTTCTATTCCCTGGCAGGTAGATACAACATTGCCTTTGGCAGCTCTATTTGAGCAGTAAGAGATGACCTAGGTGAATGAGCAGAATCAGCATGACATCTCACATTTTAATTTTCACCATTTAAGGGGGTGAAACAAGTGAGGCATGCCACATTACTTCCCTCAAGGCTTTAAAAGCAGTCTGTTCTTTACCCCATTTTTCTGAAGTACGTAGAGACAGATACGTTTACCACTTTGAGAAAATGGGATTACCTTCTCAGGATTCTACATTAGTGCAAGCTTTTTCAACCGTTTAAGGCAACCTTCAGATATGGACACTGTACAGTCGGGTTAGAATTCTGTGTAACCTAGGCACCTATTGTGATAGCACACTTTAACCATTTTTGCACAATAGCATTGTAGGCCTCAATTAAAACATCAAGGGTCTTTGAGAGGAAGTCAGTATTGCTTTTACCAGGAAGTTAAGAGATAAACCTGTGTCATAAATTCATATAGGTCCTGCAATTAGCTTGACACAAATGCAAGAATGATGCATGCAAGAAATGAAGCATGAGTGAGACCAACTTAAGGTTAAACCATTTTATTGTTGCCCAGTAGTAGGACAGAACCTGAAACAAAGAAATAAAATACTTAAGAAACCCAGTTGAAAGATTTAAACTAAATCATAAAATTACTACCAAGGATTACCTTTGGAGTTATTATGGCACAGATTTTTACCAGTAGTTGAAGCCTGGATGTAGGTGCGACCGAGTCTGGAGTCCAGATTTGTAGCCAGTTTGGGGCATTAATTTCTGGCCTGGATGTTTACCTGCCTTACTGGATTTGTACAAAATACATGGAATAAATGGTTCCTGGTAGTAAGGCACAAATGGACTCACAGGCCCTGGTTATTTGCTGGGCTTTGTCATTTGAGCAGTTGGAAGGGGAAGATGCAGTTGTTGGCTTTGTTGGATCAGGGCCAGGTCTTGGGCACCTCAATCAAAGGCAGGCACCCAGCGTTGCCTAAGAAGGGAGAAATAGACTATTATTCCATACTAACCAGTCATGCACCAAACATTGTAAACATCACAATATACAAGCTTGGGTTTGATATTAACCCATGTCTAGCTGCAAGTCACCAGCTCCAGGTCCCATGGCTCTACACTTAATTTTCTCTGTACCAGAGTGCAGGGAAGGATTCAAGCGCTGCCATGCTGCTTCAATGGCCATGTTGTCCTCCAGTTTTGATGTCTGTTCAAACATCCCTTAGGAGTAAAGAAGTCAACACTAGATCAATACAGGCTATTTCAGTTTGGTTTTTACCTATAACATTACATTTCTATTTAGAAGATTAAAATGGTTAACCTGGCAGAAAAGAAGAAGTAAAACTCCACACCAAACAGCAAAGGGGAAACATGACTGCCATAGTTTGACGTGCACTACAACCACTGCCATCTTCAAATACCATCCTGGATCAATCCACAAGGAGCAGATGGAGAGCACTTCGCTATGCAGGAGAAACTGAATCACGACTTTAAATACTGGGCCTAAATTGGCTCCAGGGAATCAGCAGGTCAAATGCTATCACCTGTGTTCACATCACAAAAAACAGGTGTGTTGATTAGAACCCTTTGATGTGTTATTAGACATCTCGGGTCAATATTTCACAGCTGTGTTTGTTTCGTTGGTCATTTTGCAGTTAGGTTGGGGAATAATTACATTCAGTGATGTTTGGCCCTAAAGTCTTAAATTTGGAGTTAAGTCCCCCATCCAGCATGTTCAGATACATGTTTTGTGTCCTTTCTTTGTTATTTTTGGTTCTACTTTAAGTGTAGCATTACAAGCAGGAATGATTACTGCATTGTTTTTTTAGTGCCCGCCATTGGCTATCCTTTAATTTCATTGCCATCATAAGTTATGAACAGAAACACAAGAATGCTGCATTCTTTTTTTTTTAATTTTTTCAGTATAGTTTGAATTGGTTTTTAATGCTAGTTTGTTAGTTTAGTTTAGTGTTTATTCTTATTTAAATCAATAGTTTTAGTTTAGTTTGTATTAGTTTTAGTTTTATGTAATAATGTAATGTGATGCTTAATAAGGGTTGAGACAAAAGAGCGAAAGTAAACATACTATTTTGTGCAAATAAACTTCATGATGCAACTCCTGCATAAGCTCATCCAAAACAAAAATGGCTGTTCCTGGTATAAACCATAAGGCATGTGTCACTCAGTATGTTTGTGCCAAAGGCAAGGCAACTTCATTTATATCGCACACTTCAGAAGTGTGTTTGGCCATAGCTAAAATAACAGTTGTTTAAAACATGTAATAGGAGTAACACAACTCCATTTAATATGTATTTCCTAGGTGGGATATACATTAGGACTTAGATTTAGAAAAAAATCCACATACTTTCAAACATACAGTAAATTTAAATACATATTGGACTTCATTCCAAATAGGCAATTGATACTCAAACTAGTGTTTCAGTATTAAAATATGAGTAGAGAAAGTCTAAGCTTAAAGAGGAACAGCAGTATACAAAGAACATGGAAATATATTCCAATAATTCTCAGTTAACTTTGTCTTCCACTCATTGGAATAATTTTTTCCTTCATCCTGTGAACTGTTTTCTTGAGGACACGAAGCAAGAACAATATTTGTTTTCATTTGTAATAAGAGAGTAGTGAGATGGAAGATGACATGTTTATGAGACCTGCTGATGAAGGTAGGATTTAAGTTGAGGAAATATAAAGCACCTTTAGGCAAACACAAGCTCCAAAAAGTAAGCCCCCTAACCTTTTGGATATGTTCAAGCCCATGTCATTGACAACTGATGTGCAATGCAACTCAATGGCCTTTAGAGCTTGTTCAGACAACTATTGACAGTATTTTACAAAAGAAATGTGTTGAGCCACAGTGCCACCATGTAGACAAGTCTCAAATAGCCCTTTAAAGTTTGAAAAGAATATAAAGTACAAACTCTCATTGACAGTTAGAGGTCAAATAAACAGTTGAGACAGTATCACTTGTTTGTCAAACCATTTATTAGAACACTTAATATGTTACACTTGAGGAGGGGGGTACAGTATGGGATAGGGCATGTACGGAAACTGAGGAACATTGGCATGTGGATGAAAATGTGGTCAAGGCTGTGTAGGTGCTGGAGGGGGGTCTGTTGCAGAGGGTGTGGTAGTAGGTTCCTCCGTAGTTGTTAACGGCTCAGGTGTTGATAGGGATGGTAAAGAGGATAGTTGGGAGGCATATATTTTTGAGCATGATATTTAACTTTGGGCGGTTGAGTTTTGGTTTTACAACTTGGTTTAGTCTTGGTCGATCTGGTTGGTCTTGTCGGTCTAGTCGGTCTGGTCGGTCTGGTCGGTTCAGTTTGCTTGGTTTTGGTCGGCTTGGTTATGGTGGTTTTGGTCGGTTTAGTTATAGTCGGTTTGGTTTTGGTCGGTTTAGTTATAGTCGGTTTGGTTTTGGTCGGTTTAGTTTTGGTAGGCTTGGTTTTAGTCGTTTTAGTTTTGGTTGGCTTGGTTTTGGTAGTTTTGGTCGGCTTGGTTTCGGTCGATTTAGTTATAGTCGGTTCAGCATTGGTCGGTTTAGTTTTGGTCGGTTTAGTTATAGTCGGCTTGGTTTTGGTCGGTTTAGTTATAGTCGGCTTGGTTTTGGTCGGTTTAGTTTTAGTCGGCTTGGTTTTGGTCGGTTTAGTTTTAGTCGGCTTGGTTTTGGTCGGTTTAGTTTTAGTCGGCTTGGTTTTGGTCGGTTTAGTTTTGGTCGGTTTAGTTTTAGTCGGCTTGGTTTTAGTCGGTTTAGTTTTGGTCGGTTTAGTTTTAGTCGGCTTGGTTTTGGTCGGTTCAGTTTTAGTCGGCTTGGTTTTGGTCGGTTTGGTTTTGGTCGGTTTAGTTTTGGTCGGTTTAGTTTTAGTCGGCTTGGTTTTAGTCGGTTTAGTTTTGGTCGGTTTAGTTTTAGTCGGCTTGGTTTTGGTCGGTTCAGTTTTAGTTGGCTTGGTTTTGGTCGGTTTGGTTTTGGTCGGTTTAGTTTTGGTCGGTTTAGTTTTAGTCGGCTTGGTTTTGGTCGGTTTAGTTATAGTCGGTTTAGTTTTGGTTGGCTTGGTTTTGGTAGTTTTAGTCGGCTTGGTTTTGGTCGGTTTAGTTTTAGTCGGTTTAGTTTTAGTCGGCTTGGTTTTGGTCGGTTTAGTTATAGTCGGCTTGGTTTTGGTCGGTTTAGTAATAGTCGGTTTAGTTTTGGTAGTTTTAGTCGGCTTGGTTTTGGTCGGTTTAGTTATAGTCGGCTTGGTTTTGGTCGGTTTAGTTATAGTCGGCTTGGTTTTGGTCGGTTTAGTTATAGTCGGCTTGGTTTTGGTCGGTTTAGTTTTAGTCGGCTTGGTTTTGGTCGGTTTGGTTTTGGTCGGTTTGGTTTTAGTCGGCTTGGTTTTGGTCGGTTTAGTTATAGTCGGTTTAGTTTTGGTTGGCTTGGTTTTGGTAGTTTTAGTCGGCTTGGTTTTGGTCGGTTTGGTTTTAGTCGGTTTGGTTTTAGTCGGCTTGGTTTTGGTCGGTTTAGTTATAGTCGGCTTGGTTTTGGTCGGTTTAGTAATAGTCGGTTTAGTTTTGGTAGTTTTAGTCGGCTTGGTTTTGGTCGGTTTAGTTATAGTCGGCTTGGTTTTGGTCGGTTTAGTTATAGTCGGCTTGGTTTTGGTCGGTTTAGTTATAGTCGGCTTGGTTTTGGTCGGTTTAGTTATAGTCGGTTTAGTTTTGGTCGGCTTGGTTTTGGTCGGTTTAGTTTTAGTCGGCTTGGTTTTGGTAGTTTTAGTCGGCTTAGTTTTGGTCGGTTTAGTTATAGTCGGCTTGGTTTTGGTCGGTTTAGTTTTGGTAGTTTTAGTCGGCTTGGTTTTGGTCGGTTTAGTTATAGTCGGCTTGGTTTTGGTCGGTTTAGTTATAGTCGGCTTAGTTATGGTCGGTTTAGTTTTGGTCGGCTTAGTTTTGGTCGGCTTAGTTTTGGTCGGCTTAGTTTTGGTCGGCTTAGTTTTGGTCGGCTTAGTTTTGGTCGGCTTGGTTTTGGTCGGCTTGGTTTTGGTCGGTTTAGTTATAGTCGGTTTAGTTTTGGTCGGCTTGGTTTTGGTCGGTTTGGTTTTAGTCGGCTTGGTTTTGGTCGGTTTAGTAATAGTCGGTTTAGTTTTGGTCGGCTTGGTTTTGGTAGTTTTAGTCGGCTTGGTTTTGGTTGGTTTAGTTTTGGTCGGTTTAGTTTTAGTCGGCTTGGTTTTGGTCGGTTTAGTTATAGTCGGTTTAGTTTTGGTCGGCTTGGTTTTGGTCGGTTTAGTTTTAGTCGGCTTGGTTTTGGTCGGTTTAGTTTTGGTCGGCTTGGTTTTGGTCGGTTTAGTTTTAGTCGGCTTGGTTTTGGTCGGTTTAGTAATAGTCGGTTTAGTTTTGGTCGGCTTGGTTTTGGTAGTTTTAGTCGGCTTGGTTTTGGTCGGTTTAGTTTTGGTCGGTTTAGTTTTAGTCGGCTTGGTTTTGGTCGGTTTGGTTTTAGTCGGCTTGGTTTTGGTCGGTTTAGTTATAGTCGGCTTGGTTTTGGTCGGTTTAGTATAGTCGGTTTAGTTTTGGTAGTTTTAGTCGGCTTGGTTTTGGTCGGTTTAGTTATAGTCGGCTTGGTTTTGGTCGGTTTAGTTATAGTCGGCTTGGTTTTGGTCGGTTTAGTTATAGTCGGCTTGGTTTTGGTCGGTTTAGTTATAGTCGGTTTAGTTTTGGTCGGCTTGGTTTTGGTCGGTTTAGTTTTAGTCGGCTTGGTTTTGGTAGTTTTAGTCGGCTTAGTTTTGGTCGGTTTAGTTATAGTCGGCTTGGTTTTGGTCGGTTTAGTTTTGGTAGTTTTAGTCGGCTTGGTTTTGGTCGGTTTAGTTATAGTCGGCTTGGTTTTGGTCGGTTTAGTTATAGTCGGCTTAGTTATGGTCGGTTTAGTTTTGGTCGGCTTAGTTTTGGTCGGCTTAGTTTTGGTCGGCTTAGTTTTGGTCGGCTTAGTTTTGGTCGGCTTAGTTTTGGTCGGCTTGGTTTTGGTCGGCTTGGTTTTGGTCGGTTTAGTTATAGTCGGTTTAGTTTTGGTCGGCTTGGTTTTGGTCGGTTTGGTTTTAGTCGGCTTGGTTTTGGTCGGTTTAGTAATAGTCGGTTTAGTTTTGGTCGGCTTGGTTTTGGTAGTTTTAGTCGGCTTGGTTTTGGTTGGTTTAGTTTTGGTCGGTTTAGTTTTAGTCGGCTTGGTTTTGGTCGGTTTAGTTATAGTCGGTTTAGTTTGGTCGGCTTGGTTTTGGTCGGTTTAGTTTTAGTCGGCTTGGTTTTGGTCGGTTTAGTTTTGGTCGGCTTGGTTTTGGTCGGTTCAGTTTTAGTCGGCTTGGTTTTGGTCGGTTTAGTAATAGTCGGTTTAGTTTTGGTCGGCTTGGTTTTGGTAGTTTTAGTCGGCTTGGTTTTGGTCGGTTTAGTTTTGGTCGGTTTAGTTTTAGTCGGCTTGGTTTTGGTCGGTTTAGTTTTAGTCGGCTTG